AGCCAACAGCCACCATGAAACTAAGTGGAGAGAAACTCAAAGTGATTCCACTAAAATCAGGAACAAGACAAGGCTGTCCACTCTCTCTGTAGCTATTCAATTAGTACTTGAAGTACTAACTACAGCAATAAGACAACAAAAGGAGATCAAGAGGGTACAAATTGGAAAGGAAGATGTCAAACTTCACTATTTGCAGATGATATAATAGTATATATAAGAGACTCCAAAAATTCTACCAGGGAACTCCTATAGCTGATTAACACCTTCAGTGATGTGGCAGGATACAAGATTAACTCAGAAAAAAAAATCAGTATCCTTCCTATATACAAATGATAAACAGCTGAGAAAGAAGTTAGAGAAACATCACCATTTATAGTAGTCACAAATAACATAAAATATCTTGGAGTAACTCAAACCAAGCAAATGAAAGACCTACATGACAAGAACTTTAAGTCTTTGAAGAAAGAAATTGAAGAAGATATCAGAAAATGGAAAGATCTCCCATGATCTTGGATAGATAGGATTAACACAGTAAAAATCGCAATCTTACCAAAAGTGTTCTACAAATTCAATGCAATCCTCATCAAAATCCTAACACCATTCTTCACAGACCTCACAAGAACAATACTCAACTTCATATGGAAAAACAAAAAACCCAGGATAGCCAAAACAATCCTGTAAATAAAGGAACTTCCTAAGTCATCACATCCTGACTTTAAGCTCTCCTGTAGAGCTATAGTAATGAAAACAGCTTGGTATTGGCATAAAAAGACACATGGATCAATGGAATTGAATTGAAGACCCTGACATTAATCCATACACCTATGAACACCTGATTTTTGACAAAGAAGCCAAAATTGTACAATGGAAAAAAGAAAGCATCTTCAACAAATGGTGCTGGCATAACCGGATGTTGGCATGTAAATGAATGCTGAAATTTGCAGGCAAATGGATGGAACTAGAAAACATCATCCTGAGTGAGGTAACACAGACTCACAAAGACAAATATGGTATATACTCACTCATAAGTGGATACTAGATGTAAAGCTCCAGAGAAGCTAGGAAACAGGGAGGACCCCAAGAGGGACTCATGGATCACCTTTGGAAGGGGAAAAAGATGAGCTCTCCATGAGTAAACAGGGACAAGAGGGGTAATAGAGGGGAAGGTATGGGGGATGAGAACATAAGGAAATGGGATGGTCAAGCTGGGGGAGGGAGAGAGTGGGAGAGCAATGAAAGAGATATCTTGATAGAGGGAAATATTATGGGGTCAGGCTGAAACCTGGTACTAGGGAAATTCTCAAGAATCCACAAGGATGACCTCAGATTAGACTACTAACAATAGCGGAGATGTTGCCTAGATAGGCCTAACCTGGTAATCAGATTGGTGAATACCCTCATTGTCATCATAGAGCCTTCATCCAGTAACTGATGGAAGCAGATACAGAGATCCATAGCCAAGCACCAGGCTGAGCTCTGGGAGTCCAGTCGAAAAGAGAGAAGAGGGATTATATGAGCAAGGGTGGGGGAGAGGTCAAGATCATGATGGGAAAATCTACAGAGACAACTGAACCAAGCTCTTAGGAACTCACAAACTTTAGACTGACAATTGTAGAACCTGCATAGGACCAGACTAGGCCCTCTGCATACAGGAGAAAAATGCAAATCGATTCATATCTATTACCATGCACAAAACTCAAGTCCAAGTGGATCAAAGACCTCAACATAAATCCAGTTACACTTAACCTGATAGAAGAGAAAGTGGGAAGTAGCCTTGAACACATTGGCACAGGAGATTACTTCCTGAATATAAAACCAGTAGTACAGAAACTGAGAGCAACAATTAGTAAATGGGACCTCCTAAAACTAAGACTCTTCTATAAGGCAAAGGACACAGTCAATTAGACAAAATGGCAGCCTACAGAATGAGAAAAGATCTTCACCAACCCCACATCTAACAGAAGGCTGATCTCCAAAATATATAAAGAACTTAAGAAACTAGACATCAAAATAAGGAACAATCCAATTAAAAAATGGGCTACAGAGCTAAACAGAGAATTTTCAAAGGAAGAATCTCAAATGGCCAAAAGACATTTCAGGAATTGCTCAATGTCCTTAGTCATAAGAGAAATGCAAATCAAAACAACTTTGAGATACCATCTTACATCTGTCAGAATGGCTAAATTCAAAAACATTCATGACCACTGCTGGTGGGAGTGCAAACTTGTACAGCCACTCTGGAAATCAGTATGGTGGGTTCTCAGAAAACTGGGAATCAATCTACCTCAAGACCCAGAAATACCTCTCTTTGGCATATACCCAAAGGATGAGCAATCATACCACAAGGACACTTGCTCAAATATGTTCATAACAGCATTATTTAATAGCATTATAGCCAGAAACCTGGAAACAACCTAGATGCCCCTCAGCCAAAGAATAGATAAAGAAAATGTGGTACATTTACACAATGGAGTATTATTCAGTGGTTTAAAACAAAATGAAATCATGAAATTTGCAGGCAAATGGAAAAAAGTCAGGAATCCACAAGGATGACCCCAGCTAAGACCCCTAGCAATAGTGGAAAGGGTGCCTGAACTTACCTTCCCCTGTAACCACAATGAGTTGCTTATTGTGAGTTAGGTGTTACCTAACCCACCAAGCAACAAGTTGGGCATTCCCAGCAAAAACTCCATCACCAAATGGACATATATTTATGGTCAAATCCAAGCAAAAAAGACAGAAAAAAACAGCCCAAATGCTCTTACTAACTCTTCTCATCCAGCTTCTACCTGAGGCCTGATGGCCCTGTTATCAGTTTTAACAGGAAAATGTAACTGAGCCCTGGTTTACAAATGATTTTGCCTGATATCCAAGAACCTCCCAAAAGTAGATAACTGCAATACTACAGCCCCTGGCTGGGATAACCCCTGAAGGAGAAATGTGAAGGAAAACCTTTCCAAGGTGTACAAGCGTTACACCTGCTTGCTTATTTTGTATAGGAGAAATGGGAAGATGTATGATCAGATACTAACCCACAGCTACAACTTTGGTGGTTCAACTAGATGGTCAGAAACTTGGAGGAAACCAGACTGATAAACTGCTAACAAGTCCAGGTGCAATAGTGTTAACTGTCAACTTGACAGACTAGGGAATCATCAGGGAGGGGACCTCTGAGCATGCCTGCTGAGGATTAGCTAGACTATGTCAATTGAGAAGGGAAGACATGGCTGCTGTGAGTGGTGTCATTCCCTGATCAGGATTCTGCACGGTGTAAATGGAGAAAGAGGACTGAGCAAAGCAAGCATGCCTCTCTCTTTGCTTCCTGACCCTGGGTAAAATGACCAGCTGCTTCAGGTTCCTGTGGCCTTGACTTTCCTGCCCTGATGGACTGCACCTTTGAACTGTTAGACAAAAGAAACCTTTTCTCTGCTAAGTTGCTTTTGTCAGAGTATTTTTTTTCCACAGCGACAGAAAAAGTAACTAAGACACTAGGAAAGCATTATTTGAAATAAATCTCCAAATAAGCAAAAGAAAATTGAAGATATTTGCATCTCACGTCAGCCCTCAACAAAGGGCATCTCAGTAGAGGATTTTAGCAATCAAGTGGAGGGGATGACTTGTGCTGTGGATACCTGCCTTAGTTTGCTTGCTTTCTGTTGCTGCAGGGGGAGAAAAAAAGAACAACATGACGAAAAGCAACTTGGGGAGGAAAGGGTTTGTTTGGCTTGCAGGTTACAGTCTATCAACAGGAGAAGTCAGTGTAGGGAACTTGAAGGCAGGAGCTAAAGCAGAGGCCGTGGAGGAATGCTGCTCAGTGGCTTGTTCTTCACGCCTTGCTCCACCTGCTTTCTGTTCTGTTCTGTTCTGTTCTGTTCTGTTCTGTTCTGTTCTGTTCTGTTCTGTTCTGTTTTGTTTTGTTGAGACAGGATTTCTCTGTGTAACAGCCCCGTAACTGGCTTTGTAGATCAGACTGGCCTTGAACTCACAGAGATCCACCTGACTCAGTCTCCTCCTGAGTGCTGGGATTAAAAGCATGTGCTGCCACCACCTGGCTCAACCCACTTTCTTATATATTCTAGGAATACTTGATCAGAAGTGTTCTCTCCACATCAATCATAAATCAAGAAATGTCCCACATGCTACCTAACCTGAGGGTACCTCTTCTCAGTGGACTCCAGTTTCAAGTTGACAAAATAACTAGCACAGTACCAATCCACCTCTTTCCCCATCTTTATCGCAGTTCCATAGGTCCTTATCTGGTTTTTGGACTTCATGAATACTATTTTTTAAAACAAGGCCTAGACTGGCCTAGTCTCCAGTGGCAAAGGTCAACACTGGATGTGGGAATGGGTAGGACAAGGGGAACCAAAGTTCAAGACCCAGACAAGAGGAGAAGAGAGAAAGAAGTAAGGAGAGGCCAAATGTCCCTAGCTGGTTTTGTGGGTGAAGAACAAGAGATAGATCTTTTTGCTAAAATCTGCCTAAAGATCCAGCCTAGGAGGGAGAGCAGTACTCAGAAAGAGACTTTCAGATCCCCAGGGTCAGCAGTTCTCCTTTTAGCCATGGTGTCCTTCTGAGAAAGACAGATCAATAGGTCTCTGCTTCTCACCTAACTAGAACCACCTACAAAATCAAAATAATTGTCCTTGAAGTCTGCTGTTAAATGAAATCCTTCTCATTCAAGCGAAGAAGATCCAAAACATCCAACAGTAGCTGCCACAGCTGTCTTCACCTGGGTTCCTCCTTGACATGTAATTCTTTCAATACTCAGAGATAGTGAACACTCACCGTCCTGAAGCAGAAGGTTTGATATCACAGTGGAATGGTGTCTGTGGTCTCCATGACTACATCAGTATCCTGCAGAGACTAGAACCAGCATCTTATCCATTGTTTTTCGCTGGAGAGCCTTGACTAATATACTAATACAAAGAGCCACACAGACTGAAACAGTCCTTAGTAGATTCACTTTGAATAATAACATTGGCTTTCTCTTCTCACAGGTTGCACAAATAATGTTTGGCCTAATTCACAGTGCACTGGGTATGCTCTGGATCTTTTTGTACAATCTAGAGGAAGAGCAAGACAGTGTTGGTACTGTCGGTATGATTGTTATCATCTTTTACATGTTGGCGTCTGGATCATTTGTGAGTAAACTGTAGCATTACTGATTTCTATTTATTTGGTCCTAATTGATCGATTAAAGTATGCTGTGGTCAACAGCGTACTAGACTCAATCACTGATTTCCAATGCTCATTTGAGCCTGGAAGAGTTGTTTTTTGTGTTTGTCTCTTGTTTTGGTAAGTATCTCAAGAGGCTAGGATGTACAGATAAAAAAAAAATTCAAAGGACTGTTATTCAGAAGACTCACAAAGGGCAGGGCTGTTTATATAACAACTATAAGGTCGTTCTTTTCAGGGTGAAAACCCAAAAGCATGAGTTTAATGTCTAAGGAACTAGAGACAATTTTTGGAAAAATTACATAAGGGAAAAGAAAAAAGAGCCTTGGATGCCCAAGAGGAGTTGAGGGAAATTAAATAGAGATCCCTAAAATTGATATTCTAATAATTTCTTGGGTGAATTTATCAAAATGTCCACCTGGAGCATGCCCAATTAAAAGTAATTATACTGAGGAAAGCCCAAAGCTATGATTGCCCCAGACATCTTAGTTCACAGATGCACTCAATCCAGAAGAAATCTGTTGATCAAGGGTCATTTATGCAGACATCATGTGGCCTTGTGGCACAACTGACTTCCCTATAACAGCAAGTCTCTAGAAGCAGAAAGCTTAACCTAAGGATGAGCTTCTTCACAGAGAACAGATTTCCTAAATCCTTCACCACCTTCTTGTTCTCCTCTACCAAAATGGAGCTTTAAAAGAGTAGAAGTCTGAGTGGAGCCCAGTCCCTGAGCTTTGTGGAAAGGCTTCTGAGACATACAAGTAGTCATTTCATTCAGCAGGGGTCTGACATTTACTTCTTGGCAGACATTTCCTCCAAGGACTCACCTATAAAAGCATTGCAAAACTGACAACTTTGTGGAAAGAGGTGTGTAAAATAAAGATAGATGACTTAAACTGGAATGGTACAATGAGTCTCCAATTGCAAAGTGTCTAGAAGGGACCCTAAGCCCAAGACATAAACAGGAAGCTTATGGAAGAAATTACTCACAAGTAATATTCAATGATGTGTCTACCACTGTGTCATGCATTTCCCAGTAGCACTTCAACCTCATTCTACCTATTGCCACAAGGATCAATTGCAGTAGCTCTTCACATCCCACTTTATAAACCAGGTAGCCAAGTTCTACAGAGTTTAAGTAACTCTGACAGAGTGCACCACAATAAAATGACCAGGTTTTCTTTGGACCAAGGTAAGGTGCCTCTGCTTTCATAACAGGTTTGCAGCCTCCTGGGCTGGGAGATTCTTAATATCCTTCTTAGGAAATTTAAGTCATCTTTTGTAAGTGCTGCAAGCAAATGGAATGCATACCACAGGGAAAAAGTTAATTCTGAATAATCCACAAATAATCATACTTTCAGCTAGTTCTAGTATGTCACAGATATCACAGTGCTTGAGGAAAATAGCCATAAATAAATAAAACAAAATAAAGCCATTTGATCAAATGTTTCCTGAAACCATTTTTCAAGGATGGGTTTTTCCCCTAGAATATTATGAGGGAAAGGATTCCTGTGACTGAGAGATGCCATTCTAGCCATCTTATTTTCTAATACTTCAGGTCATTGACTTGCTAACTGACCATCAAAGCAAGCCAAGGATCCACTATTTGCCCCTCATAAAATTATTGAGAAATTCCTAAGTGCCATCACCTCCATGCTGATCTCGTGAACAATAAACAACTTTTGGATGTCTTTTCATCTCTCTAACAGAGAAAAAGTAGAATTTTTTCCAGGGAATCCCTTAGAACTAAAATAACTTTTTCATTTTAATACCACTTTCTTCTTAAAATCCAGGGATACTCTAAGCAATGACACTGGCATTAGGGCTAGAATCTGTTGAGGGAACGGATCATCCTGAGCATGGGTGTTTCAATACTTATTTCTACCCACAGTTCGTCAACTCAGGATCCAGCAGTATAATCTACGGTGATGCTACAACATGTCAGGTATGTGGGAAAGCAGGACACAGCCCCAGAGACAAAGGGTTACATAGCACAAATAGAAAGAGATATTGATGTTTCTGAAATATTAGGAGGGGCACCTCTTCTAATGCTCAGATGAAAACTATCACTTACTTTTTAAAAAAATGCACCTCAATGTGTCTTTTGTGGGAGTGTGGCAAAGGGGATGCCTAATGAGCAAATAAAGAGAGAGATATGAGAGTTTTCATGGAATGGATCCCCACATGGCATCTAAAGGGAGTATCAATCATAAAACAAAACTCTCAAAGGAGAGAAGGAGAAGTTAGGGAAGTTTGAAGGTATTTAGTCAGTGCCTTAATTAAGTTTCTATTGCTGTGATAAAAACACCCTGACCAAAAGCTATGTGGGGAGGAAAGGGTTTATTTCATCTTCTAACACTTAAGTCACACTCCATCACTGAGAGAACTCAGGGCAGAAACTCAAGGCAGGAACCTAGAGGCAGGAACTGAAGCAGAGGCCATAGAGAAATGATGCTAACTGGCTTGTTTCTTGTGGTTTGCTCAGCCCACTTCCTTATATAACTCAGGACTGCCTGCCCAGGGGTGGCACTGGCCATCCTGTCATGTGCTGGTCCCTCCCACATCAATCATTAATCAAGAGAATTCCCTACAGACTTGCCTAGAGAAAAATCTGATGGAGGCACTGTTTCACCTGAGGTTCTCCCCCCCCCACCCCACCCCCACTCCCCGCCCCATATAACTCTAGCTTGTGTTCAAGTTGATAAAGGGGTGGGGCTGTTAAGAAAGAGGATGAGAAAAAAATAACAAGGAAAGAGAGAGATCTTCTGTAAACCCAGGGCTATGGAATATCACCAGGACACCTCCAACAAGGAACAGTCCCCTGCTCATTTAGAACCTCTCCCTCCCACTTCTGCCAGCCCCTTGTGGTTAGTCACGGCGCTGGAAGGTCACATACATGGATTCTGGTTCTGAAGACCCCAGTGTTATCTGTGTGACCCTGAACAAAATGCTTCCCTGTGCATCCCACTAATCTGAACAAACATGGATAACACTAGCAAGCTAAAAACTTTGTTTGCCTGGGCTGGAGAGATGGCTCAGAGGTTAAATACACTGGCTGCTCTTTTGGAGGTCCTGAGTTCAATTCCCAGCACCCATATGGTGGCTCACAACCATCTGTAATGAGAGCTGATGCCCTCTTCTAAATAAATAAATAAATCTTAAAAAAAAAAAAACTTTGCCATTTCAGCTAAAGATCTATCTCCCCCACCCACAAAGAACAGTGGCATGAGAAGCCAGTTTGCTGAGAAGGAGCTTGAGAACCATGATTGTGAAGAATCAGGATTTGGGTTTCTTACCTTTTTAACTTTTACCACAACCTAGGCAGGGCTGGCTTTAGCTCAGTAGTTACTTTGACAATGCATCAGTCCGCTACTTTGCCACTGGTGGTTGAGTTCAAACACCATCAACCATAACCTAGGCAGCTACTGTTAACATCGTCTTCCTTCCTAGTCCTTGTTCTAAGTTGGTGACCCCAAAAATATTTGCAAGCAAATGTGCATGGGGCTAAACATCTGGTGTTGCTCTTCCAGAGCAATAGCGCGCAGTTGACCTCAAAGCCCTGGCAGCCCTCTGGAGATTTTGCAAGTTCCTGACTCAATGCCAGCTTATCCTCAGTTTCTGCCTTTGTATAAAGTCTGAATTTGCTGTGCAGCAACCATGGTAACAGGTAGAAGTAAATATGGCCTATTGGCTGATTTTCAGAAAACTCACCAAGCACGTTGGCTTTTTCTCCTGAAGTATGGGGGTGTGCAGAGCCTGACTGTAATTTCCAAGCCACAGTCTGCAGCCTTTTGTAAACCCAATCATTTCTGGATGCCTCCTTCCCCTCCATACTACCTCAAGGAGAAAGGCATAAGTTTCTTTTCTATGCAAAGCCAGTCTGGTTCCTTCTCTAGAAGCAGCTGGCATCCATCCTCAAGCACCACGTTTTTATGTTCAGATAAGTTTAGCACTTTTTATAAATCATCTTCTCAGTGGAGGGAAGAAGGAAGTGTAACAGATGCCTCTTCTTAGAATTTAGGGGTGGTTTGCTTTGGTTTGGTTTTTTGAGACAGGGCTTCTCTGTGTAGCCTTGGCTATCCTGAAACTCTCTTTGTAAACCAGGCTGGCCTTGAACTCAGAGATCTGCCTGGCTCTGCCTCTTGAGTGTTGAGATTAAAGATGTGTGCCACTATGCCTGGTAGGATTTAGATTTTTAATCCTTAGCAAAAGTATTTCACTGAGCGAGCCATGGCCAGGATACTAAAAGACTGAACAGAGAGGGATCTCCTTCTGGTTTCCACAGCAGAAATTTACAAAGTTTCTTTCACTAAAATTAAATTAATGAAGAGGGCACTAAGGAAATAACTCAGTGGTTAGTTAAAGCCCTTTGCCAAATTAATATGAGAACAGAGTTCAGACATTCAGAACTCATATAAATGCCAAGTGGGCATGGTGGCTCACCTGCCATTACAGCCCCAGAAGGTAGAGGATCCCCAAAGCAAGCTGGATAATAAGACCAACTAGATCAGTGAATTCCAGGTTTGACTGGGAGACCCTACCTCAGTGAATAAGGTAAGATGGAAGAAGTGATTAAGGATGATACCCAGCATCAGCCTAAGGCCTCCACATGCAACCACCCACACGTTCATACACATGTATACACACACACACACACACACACACACACACACACACACACACACACACACACACACATTTGTGTATGCAAGCACAAAAATGGGAGAAGAGGTAAACTAATGAAGAAAGTCCTTAAAATAAAAGAAGGACTTCCTGCTAAACAACTTGACATTCCTGGGTCCCCATCCTTTGCTTTGGTTGACTGTCATTAAGTCACACCTTCTTCCTGTTACCACAGCACACCCTCCTCTCTAACATGCATGTCTCTCACACATTTGTACAAAATACATACAACTCCAGCTCCTTCTCAAAGGGCCACCTTCCTTCACAGCTCATGCAGTATCCTCAATGCCACTTAAAGCACTTTGGTGGCTGTTTAAAAGGAAGTTAGGAACCACTAAAAGGGTTTAAGTAGTGAAGTGACAAGAATAAGCCTGACAAATCGCGAACTTGAAATGTGTTGATATCATGGTACTTATTAAATTTCATTACATAACAGTCAGAGAATATAACTTTTTCCCCTCATTATCATTATTGTAAGCCTCTCTTTTTTCTTTCATTTTATTTTTTACGTATGTGGGTGTTTTGTCTGCATGCATGTCTGTGTACCATGTGTGCACAGTGCCCTCAGAGGGCATCAGATCCCCTGGCACTGGAGTTACAGACAGTGGTGAGATGCCCTATGGGTGCTGGGATTTGAACCTGGATCCTCTGGAAGAACAACCAATGCTCTTAACTGCTGAGCCACCTGTCCAGTCCCTATTGTAAGCTTCTGATGCTTAACATATTACAGGCATTTCATAGTGATACCTTGATGAGCACACATATGCTTCTTGTGAAATAAAAACATTTTATGTTACTAACTTCTAGACAAGTTTGGGGTAAAGCCTTGATAGGAGCCTCTTTTAATAAGCTTGCAAAAAGTAAGATTTTACAGGTTGTTTTTAGTATGAAAGAGATAGGGAGATGACTGTGTGGATTTAATGCTCATTGAACAAGCATGAAAACCTGAGTTCAAATCCCCAGAACCAATGTAAAGACAGATGCAGTACCACACCTGCAATCCCACTATGTCTGGGGTGAGATGGAAGGCAGAGAATCCCCATGTGTACAGACGGGGGAGGGGGGAGACAGAGAGAGAGAGACAGAGAGACTAAACAATGTTTAAATCTGTTTCTTCTATCCATGACCTTTTTTTTCTTTTTACATCTATTGCAGGTTGTATTAGCAATTGTAGCGAACATCCTAAGTAGCTTCGTGTCTATTATTGGTATAATTATAATGGGCATTGAGTTTCCAGCTTTTGAATCATTAGGAACTGAATACATTTGGTCAAATGTAAGTACCAATTTTAATGATAACTCAGTAATAGTGTTAGATATAACTGAAAAATATTCTAAATGGCACAATGGAATTGCTCTAATATACATATGGATAGAAGAACAATGGTTTGGAAATTGCCAAGAAAGTCTAGAAGTCACATAGTAGTTGGAAAAGGCCAGAGAACTTGCTGAAGTATATATTAAAGTTGTTATTGTGATATTGGAATAAAATTATATAGTCTTTACACACACACACACACACACACACACACACACACACACACAAAAAAAAAAAAAAAAAACTTACCAGATAGCAGCAGAAAGAATTGAGACTGGAGGCAACCTGAACTACACATCAAGATCTCTATCTCAAAAAGCAGTTTGTTTTTGAGAATTTCATATATAAGTACACTGTATTTACATTATTTCCCTCTCTTCTCTCCTTCTTCTTGGCTTTCTGACCTGTTTTCCTGCAGCCATTATTGTTTATAAATTTTAGAGTCCATTTAGTGTCATTCATATGTACATGTGTTTAGAGCTGACCACTTGGTATTGAATAACCTATCAATGGTATGTTCCTGGAGAAAACTGATTTCCCCCTCCCCCGTCAGCAGCCATTGATTGCCTGTCTGGAGTTGGACTTGTGAAATTTCCTCCCTCCTCCTTGGCATGTCAACTGATGTTGTCATTTTGCAGCTCTTTTTGAGCAACTGTATTGTTGAGATTTCAGGGGTACAGCTTCCCTGTCATGTCCAGAAGAAACTGTCTCACAACAGAGTTCTGGTCCTTTGGCTTTTACAGCATATTTATTTATGGGATGAAGTCATATCAGTCAACATGGAAAAATGAAACTGAAGTAGTAGCAAATCAATAGAATATCTATTTCAAAGAAAAATTAAATAGCCAATAGTCTTGCTGTATAGAAAAGTAAGTCAAAGATAAATGCATAAGCATAAAATTATGAAAATCACCATTAAAAGTTATATGTTAACTATATGAACAAGAAAGAAAACTAGAAAATGAGGGGAGGAAACTTACACATTTTGCGCTGTAAGTATTTCATTTTTAATGTAATATAGGCTGAGATAACAATGGCTGAGTAAGTGAAGTCACTCCCCAGAGGGCTAGGAAATTGAGATCACTGCTCCAGAGGGCTAAGAGCGGGGCCACTGTCTCAGTGGACAAAGACAGTCCCCAGAAGACCAGAGGGCAAGTCTACTGAGAATTATTCTCAGGCCTTTAAATCTACCAAAATGGAGCCCCATTGGGTTGTAGACTTGAGACTTGACTAGGCCCTATGAGCTTTTCCCCCTTTTAACTTCCCATTTTGGGAGTGTGTCTTCTGTCTGCTCCACTCTTGTGCAGTCAGAAGGTTTCTCAGGTCCTGCCTGCATGCCCTCCCCACTGTGAACCTGTAGCCGCTTATAAATAATCACTCAGAAGCTTATATTAATTATAACTGTTCAGCCATTAGCTTAGGCTCATTGCTGACCAGCACTTACACTTAAATTAACCCATAATTCTTATTTATGTTTAGCCACGTGGCTTGGTACCTTTTCTCAGTTCTGCCTTGTCATCATGCTTCCTCTGTGTCTGGCTGGCATCTCCTGATTCAGCCTTCCTCTTCCCAGAATTCTCCTCATCTGCTTACCCTGCCTATACTTCCTGCCTGGCTACTGGCCAATCAGTGTTTTATTAAACCAGTGTACAAGAGCATTATCCCACAGCATTTCTCCTTTTCTGTATAATCAAAAAGGAAGGTTTTAACTTTAACATAGTAAAATTATATAATATAATAGAACAGTTATCAAGCAAGAATTGCAGTTACAAAATCTATTCTATATGTATTTGGCAAATTTAAAGAAAATATTCAGAGCCAGATGTAAGACAAATTGCTAAACGGTCTTATTAATAAAAAAAAAAGAACCCAGAGCCAAATATTGGGATAAAAACTGAGAGATCAGGGAAGCAGAAAGAAGCCAGCCACATCCTTACCGATAGAAATCCTCAGCCAAAAAGAAACCTACTTCCTGTATATATGCCCACGCATATATGCCTTTCTGTCCCTGTCCTCTTACTTCCTCTCTCTGCCCAGCTATATCACTTCCTGTCTGTCTGTACAGGCCTCCAGACCTCCATGGTTAGTGCTGGGATTAAAGACATGTGCCACCACACCTGGCTCTGTTCCCAGTGTGGCCTTGAACTCACAGAGATCTGAATGGATCTCTGCCTCCTGAATGCTAGGATTAGTGTGTGTGCTACCATTACCTGACTTCTATGTTTAATGTAGTGGCTGGCTTTTTCCTCTGATCTTTAGATAAGCTTTATTGGGGTTCACAGTAAAATATCACCACACCCTTGTGTCTTAGCATCAAATAACTTGTTTTCTGGTTTCATGAGTCCACAGGTGCAGAGAAAATTTACCCCCTACCAAACAACAGTATGAGTCTTTCCTACAACTGATTTCAAGAAGGATTTAGGGATTCCTTGACTTGATATTATTTAGAGAGATTTTGGACTTAGAATTGATGCTGTAATAAGTTAAAATCTAGGGAGATGCTGAGATAAGATGAATACATATTACACATGGAAAAAACATGAACTTGGAGGCACTAGGGTCAAATATATAAATTCAATATAAGTTGAATTGTTTTTTTAAGTATGTGCAACTGTGACATTTTTGATGAATAGAGTCATTATAGTTATAATTAGTAAGCTGAGGTCACACTGGGGAAGGGCAGACCATATCACTGATGCTCTTGTGAAAAGAAAAGCTGGTACATGAGGAAAATGGCCATGTGAATATAAGGACACATTGAAGTGATGTTACTGTAATTCAAGGGGCTTCCAGAATCTGAAGAGAGAAGTACCCTCTTTCAGAGTGTCTAGAAGGAGCATGGTCTCACCAATACATACAATACCAATACAAATTGATTTGGAGCTTTTAGCCTCCAGAACTATGAGATGGTTAATTTCTGTTGTAGAAGCCATTCATGTTATGGTGCTTAATCACAACATACCTGGGGAACTAGCACAGGAGGCCAGTAGATTGCTGTCTACTTCTACAGTGTTTTATTCCAACTAAGACAAGACACAACACTAAAACAACTGAGCTAAAACATAAGAATGTACACAGAGCTGTTGATTATTACCTTTGAAATCCTTGTCAATGAGTTTGCTAACACTGACGGTTTTAGTCAGGGTTACTATGGTTGTGATGAAACACCAAGACCAAAGAAACTTGGAGAGGAAAGGGTTTATTTGGCTTACATTTCCACATCACTGTTTATCATCAAAGGTAGTCAGGACAGGAATTCAAACAGGCCAGGAACCTGGAGGCAGGAGCTGATATAGAGCCCATGGAGGAGTGTTGCTTACTGGCTTGCTCCCCATGGCTCATTTAGCCTGCTTTCTTAGAGAACCCAGGACCACCTGCCCAGAGGTAGCCCCACCCACAATGGGCTGGGTCCTCCCACATGAATAATAATTAAGAAAATGTTGTACAGATTGTGGGAGCCCAAAGAGGTTTCCTAGTGAGATCTGAGCTTGCTTTACCCGGCAGGGCTGCATGTAGGGATGACTGGACCAAGGGCATGTTTGCCAGGTATTTGGAAAGGTCTACACTTAACTGTGTCTAGCAAGGGGGGGGGGGTCTTTTGCCTCACCCCTTGGCATTATTGTAAAAAGCCCTTCTGAATAAAGTTCATGGCCGTTGGGTCATCCCGAAGCTATCCTGTGTTTCCATCTTTCCTCTCATCACTACACCTCTCTTTCTACCTAATATCTCTTATCCCTCTCTCCTCCTCATAGGAACCCTGTAAACGATGGAAGCTGGCCTCCCACAACAGACTTGCCTATAGCCCAGTCTTATAGAAGTATTTTCTCAATTGAAGCTGCCTCCTCTCCAAGGACTCTAGCTTATGTCAAGTTGACATAAACTAGCCAGCACACCTATCTTCATGGATTAAATCCATCTGCCTATTTAAAATATACAATAGAACAAATGCTTCCCTATTGGAAGCCAGACAAGAATCAGTTATTGAAAAAGGAATAGGATGTTCTAAATACAATTCATTCTGAAAAAAAACAAGATGGAACCCAAAAGAATCTGATTGTTTCTAACATAATGACCTATTCCCCTAGGTAAGTTCTCACTCTTCCCATGAGCTGAGCAAGAATAGCTTCATCAAATCCATGCAGTAACATTTAGAGCAGGGTGTAATAAAGAAAACAGTATACGCTGAATAGAGTAGAATAAAACACAGGTCCTATGATCATCAGCCCTACCAAAGGGGACTGAGAAAAAGAAGGTTACTCTGCAAACCACATGCCACTCTGCTTTCTCTACTTTCCAGCCTCATCACGTGTAAAGCAGAAGTAAAAGGTGGGAAGCTGTTAACAGAATTAAAGCACTTAGCAAGAGATCTACTGCATAGATAATGAAGCAACTAACTTGAAATAGCCATAGCTGTTTGGAGCTGGGAGGGTAAATTATGTATTCTGACCCAGCAATGCTTTTCTCACAGTTCTCAGAGGCTTTTTTCACATGAAGAATGTTTCTTTTCTGCCTCAGATGGCTGGCATGATGCTTCTGCAGATCTCTGCCGCATGTACCATCTCAGAGTTGATCATTGCAATCATAATGGCCCACTGGTTCAGAAGAGTGTTTGATCAACAGAAACTCCGGGGTGAAGGTGAGTAATGGAGACCAGAGAGATGGCTCAGAGGGTAAGGTGCCTGATTATATAAACATGGTCACCTGAATTCCAGTCCCAACTCGCATGTGAAAGAAAAGGTGGGTGTGGTGGCAGGTGTCTGTGACCCTCCCTGGGGGACAGGGCTAGATGGTGAGCCATAAGTTGAAACATCAAGTATCAAGTTCAGTGAGAAGAGACCTGTGTAAGATGAATAACCAGGCAAATTAGGTGGAGAGCAACATGTCCACATCAACCTCTGGCCCCCACAGAAGCCTGAAGAGAAACAGAGGAAAAACCCTCAACAAAGGCTAGGAATTTTATTGGCTCAAGGTAGTTAAGAAAATCTATACCCAATTATTAGCCCACTTTGCCACTTACCTATGCAGCTTTCAACCAAAACATTCTGAGATATGTAAATAAATGGCAAAGCACGCTCTTCACAAATGGAGAAAAATTAGTCAACTAATTTTTTTTCTAGGGAAGCCTAAACCCTAGACTTAAACATGAAATTTTTCACTCAGCTATTTTAAAATTTGACTAATCAAAAGAACAAAAACAACTGGGTCTTGAGGCAGATTGATCCCCAGTTTTCTCAGGAACAACCATATAGATTTCCATAGCAGCTATATAAGTTTGCACTCTCACCAGCAATGGAGGAGTGTTGCCCTTGCTCCACATCCTCACCAGCATGAGCTGTCATATGCTAGCCATTCTAACATTCTCACATCTTTGAGAAGTGCTCTTTTCTAAAGAGAAATGGAGGGAGAGTTGATTTGGGGGAAAGGGGAGCTGGGGAGGGGAACTGGGAGGAGTGGATGGAGGGGAAATTGTGGTTGGGATGTATCATATGAGAGAAGAATCTATTTTCAATTTTAAAAAAAGAACAAAAGTAGTCTTCAGGGCTGGAGAGATGGCTCAGAGGTTAAGAGTACCGACTGCTCTTCCAGAGGTCCTGAGTTCAATTCCCAGCAACCACATGGTGGCTCACAACCATCTGTAATGGAATCTGGTGCCCTCTTCTGTGTACATAATAAATAAATCTTAAAAAAAAAAAAAAAAAAAAAGCCGAGCGGTGGTGGCGCAAAAAAAAAAAGTAGTCTTCAAAAAAATCTAAAAGTATAGCAATACCTAACCTAAAATAAAATAAAGACACCAAAACTCTTTAAGAAACATCAGAATCCCAGAGCAGAAAAATACAACAGCAAAGTTGAAAATTTTAATGCAACCAAAAGATTTGAGCTGGAAGAAAAAACACCAACTTGATGGCAGGTCAGTTTCAATTATCACCATGGCAAAGGATGAAAACAAATGCACAAAAATGAACAGAGCATCAGACACCTGGGAAATGCCATTGGGAGTGCCAAAAGGTGATTATGAGGGGTCACAAAAGGAGAAGACAGATGGAAGGAAAGGAGGAAGGAGCATAAGAAATTTTAAAGTTGTAGCTGTAAAGAGTATATTCTTAAACGTCTCAAATCAAAAAACATAACTTTCTGTTATTGAAAAAAACTAAAATAATGACTTTAAAAACTAAGCTTAATGTGAGATAGTGAAAATGATTCCCTGCAGTAAAAGTGAATGCACATACTCCATACCATAAACACATGTAAGTAAGAAAAAGAACAGAAAAACAAACCGAAAGTGTGTTTGGTTCATTGTTTTAAAATAAAAATAAAAATAAAGGCTTTAGCTACATGGACAACAGGGAAAAGGAGATCGTGTTTAATGTTCTAAATTATGAATGAACATTGATAACAATAGCAAAGACATAAAAACACTGAAGTGGCTACTAGGAACAATGACATGGCAACAAGCCAAATAACTGTTCCAGTTTGCCTTCTGTTGCTGTGATAAAGCACTGACCAATTTGGTGAGTAAGTCATCTTTTCAAATGGTCCTGGGACAACTGGACTGAAGCTAAACCACTACCTCACACAAGTTACACGAGTTCATTCAAAATGCACAAAGCCCTCGGCTTAAGAGTTAACACTGTTCCACATCTAGTATCCTCCTATGAGCGAGTACGTACCATGTTTGTCTTTCTGAGTCTGGGTTACCTCACTCAGGACGATTTTTTCTGGATCCATCCATTTGTCTGCAAACCTCATGATGTCATTGTTTTTCTCTGCTGAGTAGTATTCCATTATGTATGATACAGCCCGAACTGACCTACTCTGGTGATGGGATGGCCAAACACCCTAATTGTCGTGCTAGAAACCCCATCCAACTACTGAGGGATCTGGATGCAGAGATCCATGGCTAGGCCCCGGATGGATCTCTGGGAGTCCAATTAGCGAGAATGAGGAGGGTTTATATGAGCGAGAATTGTTGAGACCAAGGTTGGATAAAGCACAGGGACAAATAGCCAAACGAATGGAAACACATGAACTATGAACCAATGGCTGAGGGGTCCCCAACTGGATCAGGCCCTCTGAATGGGTGAGACAGTTGATTGGCTTGATCTGTTTGGGAGGCATCCAGGCAGTTGGGACCAGGTCCTGTGCTCATTGCATGAGTTGGCTGTTTGAAACCTGGGGCCTATGCAGGATCGCTTGGCTCAGCCTGGGAGGAGGGGACTGGACCTACCTGGACTACCAGATTGATCTCAGTCCTCGGGGTAGGCTTTGCCCTGGAGGAGGTGGGAATGGGGGGTGGGCTGGGGGAAGGTGAGGGGGGGCGGGAGAGGTGAGAACAAGGGAATCCGTGGCTGATATGAAGAACTGAATTGTATTGCAAAATAAAAATTAAAAATAAAAAAAAAAAGAGTTAACACTGTGAAACTCTTAGAAGACACTATAGGTATAATTCTTGGTAACCTAGGTTAGGTCATGGTATAGTGGATACAACATCAAAAGCACAAACAAAATTTAATGCATAAATTAATTGGCTAAGGAAAAAAACCACAGAGCGATCTGATGAACCCTCACCACCAAAATCAAAGCAATCTACCAAAGCAGAGGCTGCAGCGATGGCTCAGCAGTTACTTGTGAAGACCCAGGTTCAGTTCCTATAGCCCACACAGAGCAGCTCACAACCACCTATAAGTCTATCCAAGGGATGCAACGTCCTATTCTGGCCTCAGTGGGCAGTGTATGCACATGGTGCACATACAGATAAGCAGGCACACACACGTACACGCAAATAAAGATAAATTGGTTTTCTTTTTAATTCTTCAGGTACCAAATCAAATCCAGTAACATTTTAAAAAGTTTATACAGCGTGACTAAGTAGGGTTTATCATAAGAACTCAAATTTAATTAGCTTATAAAAATTAATCAATAGAACATATCACATTATTAGGTAAAGAACAGAAACAAAATCACTGAAAATGATGGATTGTGTACACTGATTGTAATGGTGATAGTTTTAATATCTTTTCAGCTTACCTAATTTTTTTCAAAATAGATCATTAATCTCAAAAATACCTGCATTCTTATATCACCCTAAAATCCTTCCCTGGGCAGAAGGAAGTTAGGAAGACTTTAGGCATGGTTGGTACAGGACTTTCTTCTGTTCCTCCACTCTGCTATCTGCATCCTTATCCTAAGCCTATTTCACTTCATGACCCCAAGATGGCTCAGGCAACATAACTCCTGGTCACATCCCTCACAGACTAGCTCTTTTTCATCTGAAGGAACAGGAAACTTTGCTTTCGCGCTCTCTCTCTCTCTCTCTCTCTCTCTCTCTCTCTCTCTCTCTCTCTCTGATGCAGCTGCCTCCAGCCTATCTCTGAACTAAATAATAGCAAAGAGGATGGTATTGGCATAAAGAGGTTAGATAAATCATGGTGATAGGATGATGTAACCAGACAAATTTTTCCCGCCTGCCTGTTCCCAAATAACTACTCAGAGGCTTATATTAATTATAAATGTTTGGCTGATGGCTCAGGCTTATTACTAGCTAGCTCTTACATCTTAAATTAACCCATTTCTATTAATCTATGTATTGCCACGTGACTGTGGCTTTACCGATCTGCTGGCATGTTGCTCCTTGGGCAGCTGGATGGCATCTCTCAGACTCCACCCTTCTTTTCCTGTCTCTGCTTGGATCCCCACCTGGCTCTATCCTGCCTTGCCATAGACCAAAGCAGCTTTACTTCTCAACCAATGAGAGCAATACATATTCACATCATACAGAAGGACATCCCACATCAGGGTGATTTTGAGGGAACCCACCAGTTTCCAGGTCATTCTAGAAGGAAATGAGAAAGAGAAAACAGAAAAGAAAACAAGGCATTAGACAAGAATAATTAATAGAGTGTTCCAATAGACCAGCCAAGTGCTGTATATCTAAACTTAAATAATGCAGAATACAGAAAGGAAGATAAGTTTGACAGACAGAAGGTTTATATATATTGTGTATACTAGTTTTATAATCAGTTTTCTCAGACAATCATGACTATAGATTGCTCAGCCTTTATTTATAGTTCCCATTCCACTCAAGAGTTATTGAACATAGGTTTGAATACTTAACCTTAATTCCAGTAGATTAAGGGATGGTTTCTTAAATATTCACGTTTTAGGGGGATTTTTGGGTGTCCTTACTCAGCATAATATTCTTTAATGCATTTAAAGGACACAGAAAAAGAAAACAAAATTTTTGCTAGGGAAAACAATAATAATACCATCTCCCTTAGGATGTGTTCTAGTCTCAATTTCTGTTGCTTTGTTCTCCCTGCCCCCAAAGAAACTTAAGAAAGATAAGGATTTACTTAGTTTATAATTGCAGGATGCAGTCCACTACTGTGGAGAAGTCAAGGCAGGAACCTAAAGCACCACATCCATAGTCAAAAGCAGAGAGAGAAAAAACGTATGGAGCCTTGTATACTGGCTGATCTCAACCAGACCAAGACCTGACCCATGACATGGTGCTACCACTTATTAATTGTGGTATTCCCACCACAATTAATAATCAATAAAATCCCCACAGATATGCCCACAAACCAATCTTATCTAGATATCTCCTTAGCTGAAAGTCTCTTCCCAGGTGAGACTAGGTTGTGTCAAGTTAACAATTAAGACTAGCCAGTGTAGGATGCCCTCTGCATAGCATCCAAGACTTCTGAAGCTGATAGAGTCACCATAATATAACAGAAAGTTAAAGACCTTTTCAAAGGAGTACTGCTTTGGGGTTGCTGCAACTCACAGAAACCTGTGAGGTGAATATGATGCATATATATGTACTCCAGCATTCAGGAGGCTAAGGCAGAAGGAGCTTACATTCCAGGGCAACTTGGGCTACATAGTGATATTCTACCCAAAAGCAAACTACTCAAGTAATTAAATAGTACCTCACATGCCATAAGTTCATGGGCCTGGCATGCCTTTGACGCCTCCCTCAGGACACACTAAATGCTGTCTTTCCAGAGTTTCAGCTCCCCATGCTTCAGGTTTTCATGTTTGAGTAGGTGTTGTGTAGACTAGTTTTGACTCGATAACTCAGGACAACCTTTTATTTTCAAGATAATATTAATACTGATTTGCTGTCACTTAACTTTCCCTAGGTTCCACATCTTCGAAATCCATATCAGAATCCCTGTCTCAACATGAAATGGAAAAATTCTCTGAATGCTCTAAGCCAAGGTTAATGGAAGAAGGAATAACACATTATAATAAGTGAGAACACTGCGACATGGTTTTACAAGACACCTCACAGAAAATGCACTCCAATGATGTCCTTGCCAGTTCTCACTTTTTCCTAGTTCCTTAATAAAGGATGCAATTTGATCACAAGTTGGCTCTTTGCCCCACTGTCTTAGTCAATGTTCTACTGCTGTGAAGAGACACCATGACCATAGCAACTCTTACAAAGGAAAGCATTTAACTGAGGCTGGCTTATAATTTTAGAGGTTTAGTCCATTATCAGCATGGTGGGAAACATGGCAGGATGCAGGCAGACATGGTGCTGGAGAAGGAGCTGAGAATTCTACATCTAGATCCCCAGGCAGCAGGACGAGAGATCCACTGGGCCTGGCTTGGGCTTTGGAAACCCCAAAGCCCACCCCCAGTGACACACTTCCTCCAACAAGACTATACTTTCTGATCTGTTCAAATAGTGCCACTCCCTAAGCATTCAATATATGAACCTATGGAGGCCATTCTTATTCAGAATAGTGCACCCACTGTAGATTACCAACCTCTTCTACCCCTAAGATTTGGAGCATGATGAGCCAATTTTTTGGAGCCCAATACCTATGGTGGGACATCTTACGAAGCCTTGGTGCAGGGAGGAGGGGCTTGGACCTGCCTTAACTGAATGTACCAGGCTATGCTGACTCCCCATGGGAGACCTTGCCTTGGAGGAGGTGGGAATGGGAGATGGGTTGGGAGGGAAGGCTGGGGGGCGGGAGGAGGGAGGAGAGGGGAATCTGTGGTTGATACGTAAAATGAATAGAAAATTTAATAAAATAAATAATAATTTAAAAAAGATTTGGAGCATGAAGGGAAGTAGAGGTGATTGCTCATTTTTATCTCAGTTGATGGAAAACATTATGAAGGAAGAGACCGTTTCATTGCAGAAAAGAAAATTCTAGTTTTGGAAGAGGCATAATGTTGCTGTAGCAGAGTAAGACTAGTTTGTCTATAACACTGCTGGCTTGTCAATAAAGCAGAGTGGTCGCTAGCCCATAGAGTAGAAGGGAGAGTTGCATGATGTCACTAAAACAGCTTAGAACAGCTCATAGCTAACTCATAGCACTCCATCAACAGGCTGACATTATCATTCATTAGCTCTCGTTACTGTAACTATGGTGATTCAGGAAGTCAGAAGGAATGTTTCCTACTTCCCAATGCTACTGACCAGAGCCCATCTCTGAAAGCTAAAAGTGTGATTACTTTTAGTAATTTTTTAATCCCAAAAGAGTCCCTGAAAGCTTCCTATAAGAGATTGTGATGGGTTTGTGTCCTTCAATTTAAAAAAAAAAAAAAATGATGTCGAAGTTTTAGCACCTGGAATCTCGGAAGATGACCTTACTTAGAAATAAAGTCTGGGGCCAGCAAGATGGCTCAGCAGATCAAGGTGCCTGGTGCCAAGTCTGACAACCTGAGTTTGATCATTGAGACCCACACGGTACACTGAAAGAACTCCTACAAGTTGTCCTCTGACCTCCATGTATGTACAGTAGTATGCACATGAATGTACAAACACAGAATAATTTTGTTTTTCAGACAAAGTCTCACTGTGTAGTCTTAGCTGGACTAGAACTTAGCATGTAGAGCAGACTGGCCTTATATTCACAGAGACCCACCTGCTTCTGCCTTCCCAGTACTGGGACTAAAGGCATGTGCCACCATGCCCAAAAAATAAATAACTTTAATAAAAATAAAGTCTTAGCCAGACAGTGATCACTCATGCCTTTAATCCCAGCACTTAGGAGGCAGAGACAGGCAGATCTCTGAGTTCAAGGCCAGCCTGGTCTACAAAGGGAATTCCAGGATAGCCAAGGTTGTTACACAGAGAAAACCTGTCTTAGAAAACCACAAAGAAGAAAGAAAGAAAGAAAGAAAGAAAGAAAGAAAGAAAGAAAGAAAGAAAGAAAGAAAGGAAGGAAGGAAGGAAGGAAGGAAGAGAGAAAGGAAGAGAGAAAGAAAGAAAGAAAGAAGTGAAAATGTCATAAGGGTGAGATCTAATCCAGTGCAGAAGGTTCTCTTTCAAAAGTGGGGATCTGGACACAGAGTCAGACAAGCAGAGAAGGGAGATTATGGGAAGACCCACAGGGAGAGGATTGTGGAAAGGGAAGGATTGGAATGATGCCTCTACTAGTCAAGAAATGCCAAGATCAGCAGGAAACCATCAGAAGCCAGGAAGAGACGTAGAAATTCGTAGCTCTCCTGGATACATGTGGCCTTCAGAATACACCTCTAACAGTGTCCCAAGGGAGCCTGAAGCTGATAACATCGTGATCTAGAACAGTGAGATGGTATGTTTCCACTGTTCTTAGTCACTCAGTCTGTGGCACTTCATCCAAGAGCTCCCAGAAGCAAAGATGGGCACCTGTCACTCTAAGCTGCATCCTGTTTGCTCCAGAGGGGCTGGTGTTTACAAAGAGAGATTACCTTCTCACCTGGGCATCCCACCACAGGAAAGTGTCATTTGAACTTCTCTTCTCTCCAAAGTTGAGTGAGATGAGAAGCTGTGAAGTTTGTGGGTGCTACGGGAGAATGTCACCTCCCAATGTTAGGCTTTGAGATAGATGTGAGATTTGCTGGTCAGCTCTAGAAAAATCATGACAAGATCCATGGATTTCAAGGCATTGTTGCCCAGTCGTTCAGGAAGACCCATAAATCACCCTGAAATTCAGAGTTTATAAGAAGCAAAAGGACTCCCTCCTGCCTTCAGGCACCACTGTAGAACACTGGTGGGAGATGAGCCCAGAAGCCGTGGGTTTCCTGAGAATCACTGCAGCATGTGGAGCAAAGCATGCCAAAGCATTTCATCAAAATGCTGCAGTGGTGGGTCACTATCAAGATGCAACAAGTGGCCAAAAAACGCCATCAGTGCCACTAACAATTGCTTAGAATTAGGGGGCTCCTTGTTAGGGCCCCTAGGACCCTCCAGAATCCCACCTAGATTAAAGAATACAGTCTACAGAAAGAAGACCATATTCTGACCTCTGTGTGTGCATAGGTGTAGCAGACTTTCTCTGGGCCGCCAACCAGCTCCCAAATAAAGACACGGAGACATTAGTATTAGTTATGGATGCTCTGCCTTAGCTTATGCTTGTCCCATTAGCTCTTATAACTTAATTTAACCTGTTTCTCTTCATCTGTGTTTTTCCTTGGGGCTTTTAACCTTTCTTTCCTTCTATATGTCCTACTTTCACTGCTTCCTCCGTGTCTGGCTGGCTGGCCCCAGGCATCTCCCTCTCTTTCTCCTTTGTTCTCTCTTCTCTCTCAAGCCTAGATTCCTCCTCCTACTTATTCTCTCTACCCACCAACCCCGCCTAACCCTCTACTTGTAGCTATTGACCATTCAGCTTTTTATTAGACCAATCAGGTGACTTAGGCAGGCACAGCAACACATCTTTACATCGTTAAACAAATGCAGCACAAACAAATGTAACACACCTTTACATAGTTAAAGTAATATTCCACAACACATAGGTGTATGCACTCTTGTACACATATACACACACATGTGCACATGGGTGTAGAGGCCAGAGGACAGCTCAGGTGTCATTCCTAAAATGTTATCCTTCTTGCTTTTTGGTACAAGGTCTCTTACTGGCCTGGACCTCCCCAAATGTGCTAAGCTCACTGGTTGGTGAGCCCAGGGACCTTCCTGTCTCTCCTTGTAATGTGAGATTACAAGCACATGCCAACACCTGCTTTTTCTCAGCATGGGTTCTGAGACTTGAACTCAGGCCCTCAAGCTTGCAAAGCACCTTACCAACTGAGCAATCTCTCCAACCCCACAGGAATCCATTTAATTTCATTTAACCTTGTGGGGCATACATGGGCTGCAAGGAGGGTGCCGAGAGAAATTCAGATAAATAGAGCTTAAGCTTCAAGGTGTTTATGCAGAGAGTGGATACAAATGGTGAGAAAGAAAGTTATCTCAAGTTATTTATGCTAAGATAAGATACTAAAAACAAGAGATGGTGTCAGGACATAAACAACTTGTAAATAGGGTGCCCTTTAAAATGATTGGTTTGTTCCTTCACCCCCTCCTAGGGTTTGGAGGTTTTCTGGTATAAAAAAAAAGCTTACTGCCTATCAATAAACGAGTTCTTGCTTGACTTGACTCCCCGCTGAGTCTGATTGTCTCCGGGTAAGAGGGAGGCTGGGAAATAGGTGAGTGGCATGCACTTGCCTTTCCTCGGTTCCAGGCCACCTCTTCACAGGTGACCTAAGTTCCCAGTGGGACAGGTCCCCACAAAACCTTTTTAAAAATCAACAAAAGTTGTTTTTTAAATATACATACTGGGTCTGACAGTTTGAACGAGATGAATACAGAACCATAGCTGTGCCCCAGCCAGCAGGGCTTCAACGGGAGGACGACCACCTGAAGGATAGAATGAAAGGGACAAGAGACACAAAAGAAGACAGCAATACAGGGTTGTGATCAAGGTGCAAAATTTTATTTTTTCACGAGGGCTTATATTGTTCTTGAAGGGTGGGGGAAGGCAGGAAATTAGTATTCTAGCTAGGTCGGGCTTGTGCAGCTGCAGAATGTCTGTGCAGGATGTTGGGCAGTGTGAGAAGGCTAGTGGTCAGGGTCCCTTGCTCGGTTGCTAAGCTACCTAACCATGAAATGTTCTACCTAGATTTTTCCTGAAGCTACCTGACCACAAGATGTCCTAACCAGATATTCTCTGAAGAACTGACAGTTCCTATGAAACGCTGGTTTTCTGAGCTAACCATCGTTGCATGGCCAAGTCCCTTGTAGATAACTGAGGGGACAGCATGGTCTGGCCCCTGGCATCTCTCCCGTTCTTTAAAATTCTATAGGCATTGGCCAAGTCCTGGAGCCAGTTCGGGAAGGCTCAAATTTTATTATCTCTTAAGGGGAGGGCAGAGGCCCAGTCTCTCTGTAGGCTTTGCGGGAGCCTTCCCAGTTCCCCTCGCAGGCGTCCCCACGAGGGAGGGGGTCCCCTGAAGCCCGCATGTTTTTTCAAGAGA